TCTGTTCTGTTTGGGAGAAGGGTTGTTGATCACTATACAGTGGGGCTGCAATCTCTCCAGTTGCTGCCAAATACCATCTTGACCCTTCATAGTGGAAAAGTTGTATCCTGCCTTGAAATCCATAGGAGATGCAACTTTAACACCATTCTTTGAAAGGAACCAAGATAATCCACTGTTTCCATGAAGTAACTCAACAACATCAGGATGATCATCATTACAGAAGAAAAAGGACTGTTCTCCAAATTCGGCATCAACATACAGTTCGTGATCTTCACGTAAGTTCTCCGGATTCTCATCGTCTAATGCCGGTATGGAAACATCATGCCACTCATCGTGATCACGTCTAACCTTCGACTGATTCACACGTACTACTGCCTTACCAGTATTGGCTTGGACCATAGCTCCTTCTTGTCCAAGTACTGTGGCACGAACCCAACGTCCTTTATCCTTGAACTTTGATGAATCCTGAGTCCAAACAAAAACCTTCTCTCCTTGGAAATAAGGACCGTCACTTGGCATAGTCCTTCTCGCAAGATCTGCTCGAAGGTCCTGAGCTTGTCGTGCTTCTTGATGAGCTCTCAAAGCCACACGTTGTAGTTCCAAATTTGTACGATCGTGTGCGGCGGCATTAGCTGACAATTGCTCAGGGCTTGCGGTCTCAAGGTCAAAAAGATCTGGTGGGCGTCTTCCAGTTGCTATCTCTATTGGTGAATATCCACTGATAGTCAACTGACAATTTCTTGCCCACACTACTTTCTTGACCACTTCTCTGACCGTAACACCACGAAAACGTGGGTCATCCAGATCTACCTTCATAACATGCCACATACGTTTGAACAAACGTACAGCTGTCTCTGCTCGGTTCGGCCAAGGAGTTCTTGGCCCACAAGGACATTGTTGTATACCATGGAACCTGTAGTATTCAACAAAAGCATCTGTGAAAAAGGCTTCGTCTCCTACGATGGCCTTTGGAACACAGTTGTTCTCATCAGACCATTGCCTCAATGCTTGGATGGTGGTTTGATCTATGAGGTCTTTCTGTGCCGTAGCCCAGAGAAGATTTGTGGCACCATCAAGAACAAGTAAGATGATATACTTGTTCTTGTGAAGTTCAACCTCACAATGATCAGCAAAAACAACATCACCAAAACATGAAGCTCTAATACCGGAGACTCTGGCTCGTGGCGGAGGTGCCACTGAAGTGTTACAAACACGGCAGTTCCTGACAACTGATTCATACTTCTCTAAAACAGAGTCAGGAAGCTTCAACATAGAAACACGTCTACGAAACTGAGTAGGACTCATATGGTAGTGCTTCACATGAAGCTTATAAAGCTCTACCTTGTCCTCCAGTCTCTGTAACATCTTCCTATATGCCGGTGTCATTGCAACAACTTCACTACCAGGTAATGGGATTGAAATCCGCCTAGGCTCAAGAGCGCCATCACCTGGTTCAAGTGGTTCATGTTTATCACTTGATGGTCCTTTTGATGCTTTAGGAAATTCTACAAGTTCACCTTCTGGCCTCTCAGGTGGTTCTGAGGGAGCATACTCCTCAAGATCATCACCCTTTAAATCATTTTGAGGCTCAGATGGTTTTGACTTGTGTCCTTTCCAAAATGGATCAAAACCCTTGGAAGTATACCGAAACTTTGGCGGCACGGGCTTTTCCGCGGCACTGGATGGTGCACCTTCCTTCTCTGACGAGAAGCCTGGTTCCCTGTCCCTTGCAATGGGAACCTTCTCTGAGGAGGAGCGCACCACTGCATCGGGATCACCAATGCCACGGTGCTCAATGCCAGCCTTCCTGATCTTTAGATCTGGAATTTTGGCATCTGGCTTAAATTTAAAAATTGTTCTACCGCGCCATTCATAGCCAAGTTGTAGGTCCTTCCATTTTGCCTTGCGCCAATCATCTGTCTTCTTGATTTCTTCTCCTCCTGCTTTCTTCTTGATGATTGTTAGTCGCAAGTCTTCCAGCAAGTCAGTGTCTACAGGACAGGACTTAGTTGCTGGGAAAAGAATTCTCCTGTAATCCTTGTGGTGACGTATCAGTTCTCTCTTGTGAACATCTACTTCCCAGAAATCAACCACAGGATATGCATGCTCAGCTTCACCTTCATCACTATTGTGTTCAACAGAAATATGGCCATATTCATAGTGAGTGAGGTGAGAGTAAAAACTCTTCTCACGCTGAGTCTGCCAACGCACGTCAGACAGATACCATGCAATATCTTGGAAGTCCAACACAAGATGAGTACTGGCTGCAACCTTCAACTCCAAAAATTTGATACCAAGAGGCACCGATGTCAGATAAGCATGTTGAGGTGTCAGCCTGAGTTCAAAGCCTAAGTTCCTCATCTGTGGCAAGCTCATAAGCAAAGGGACTTCTCCTTCTTCCACTATGTCGAACTCTGTATGGTGGATCGTCCATGCACGATCATACATGTAAATCACCAGTTTCTGAGAGCAAGTAGCCTTCTGGGAATTGGCAAAGTAAAACTTGCTCTTGGTAGCCTCAAAAGAGTACCATAATCCACAATCTGGGTGATTGTCGACATAGTTGCAAAAATGGTCGACTGCTCGCCTTGATCCCATAGCTCTAGTGCATCCAATGTCCAGGATTGCAATAGTCGGCGGGAAGCGATTCTCAGTCAAAAATGAAATGGCCTGCATCTCCTTCACTTCTTCCTCAGCGCTCATAAGCGCAAAGCCATCAGGAGCCTTTGTGAGCATCTCCTTTGACAAAGAGTACCTCACAGGGGCACTCATGCCATTGAAGATCGTCTCACCATTGTTGACCGCACAGTCAGCTTCATCTTGACATGAGGTCATCATGCCTGACAGCAAGTCCACCTCACTGTCATGGACTTCAGCTGCTGCTGTCACACAATGTGCAAAGAAACCTTGTTGACCTCCTGATGCTTGTGAAGATCTTGAAGGTGCAGGTAAAGAACGTGGCTGTTGTTGATTTGCATAGTTTGCATCTTGTTTGCCATCTCCTTTATCTTTTCCTTTTCCTTTCTTGCCTTTTCTCTTGCCTTTTCCTTTTCCTTTGTGGGAAAACCATGCTTCTTCAAGCTGTTGCCAAAAGTCATTGGCATCATCATATTCTCCTTGAAGATAGTCATTCATATCCTCGGCAAGAACGGCATCATATGCTCCTTGGGTTGACTCCCAAGTGTCCTCATAAGGATTCTCTTCAAGGTATTCATCTGGAAAAGTTGTCTGTTGCTCATCAGCAAAATGGCCTTTACCTCGTCTCTTTCCTTTTCCTTTTCCACGAGGTCTGAAGAATCTACGGCCTGATCTTCCTTTTCCTTTTCTTCTACCTTTTCCTTTGCCTTTTCTGGCTCTTCTTCCTTGGAATCTCCTTTGGAACCACGAGAAGTTTTGATCATCATATACCCAAAAGACATCGTCCAGGGCATCTAAAAATCCTTCAGTTCCATCTTCTTCATCTTCGGCCCAATAGCCAAATGTACCATCGAGTTCTCCTTCGTCTAGTACGAGAAATGATCTTCTACCTCCAGCACCTGTCGGCTGCATCAATGGATTGTCTACTGAAGTCTTTGTCGTGCAGAACATCTCGATGAACACTGTCCTCAACTCTGTTGTGGTGTATTGCTGCAGGTACCTGCCACGATGAGTCATCAACGAAGTCAAAGTGTTTCGCTGGTCCTGAGACAAATCTGCAAGGGACAGCATGAGTAGGGCAATGAGATTCTCTCCTAAAGGAAAATCATTCTGATGAAGAATTCTCATATTGCCATTGACATTCTGCATGATTTCCTGAATCCTTTCTGTCGTTGGTGCTACTCCAGTCAACGCTGCATCTGCCTGCATCTGAGCAAGGACTTGGGGATGTGCTTGAGTGACTGGTTCTAACATGTCCATCCAACTGCTCATAAGCCTTTGGAGTAAAATCTGGAATCTTGTCATCCATTTCATCATGTCGGCTGATCCTCGATTGAATCGCACGAATTGCATAAACCTGTATAGGAATACATTGGTTGATCCTTTCACGAAATATGGTCGTAGTACTCGTTTGAAGTAATCTACTCCTGCTCCTGGTGGCTCATTAGCCTTCAATGAATCTCTGTCTAATACACGTTTGTATACTGCTGCTTCTCCTTCTAATCTGTTTCTCAAAGCTGGTCCTCTCTTCTCATCTTCCAGCTCGGTGATATCACACCAATCGTCTATGGCATCCTCATAGGAAAACCATGAAGTCTTTCCATCATAAGATAGGGGCACCTTTGTAGTGACCTGTGTTGTCATTGCTATTGCTGCTGGTTCTCTTCTCACATGCCTATTCACGTAGGCTGCTGGCTCATAAGCCACATCCGCATCAGGCTCTTCCCAGTCGTCAATCCAATCCACGGCCGTTTGCCCACAAGCAATTCTATGCCTAGGAAAGGAGCTCACCTGGGTCTTCCAGGATCACTGCTCCGCTACCACTGAAAGAGTGACTAGGGCGTACACGGTAGAGGTGCAGACCGCTAGTGTCTTTTATGCGCAGAGTCTTATCCTCTTGCTCTTTAGGTCCATTGACCCTCTCTTGAGCCTTGAAGCAGTCAAGCATGGACACACTATATCAGCTGTTGGAGTGGAACCCTGTACAGGTAGGCTCTACTTTTCAGGGGGGGGGGTCTGTATTGAAAAATCAATTCCAAGGGGGGGGGGGGGGGGGGGGGTCTGAATTGAGCGATCAATTATTAGACCCGGACGTCCCAACACTTGCTTCGCAAGACAAACTCAAGGTATCCCCTAAAGGGCTACCTTTCGTGATCACTGCTCTCAAAATATACTGTATATACTATTCTTTTTGCTTCGTCTAGCATGAGCATTTGCAGATATTTGCAGAGGGCTTGTGGAGGCTCTTGGAAACATCATCTGGAGGCTCTTCAGGGAAACTTGGCTGTCAAAGTCTGTCAAAACATGCTTTCGTTGAGCAGTACAACATTCCAAAGACCCTCACTCTCAGCAGTTGCAGTAGGTCACAGTGCTACTTTGGCACCACCGTCAATTGTTCTGCCCGGCCCATAATGCCCGCAGCCTAGAAGGGATCTTCCTGGAACAGGGGGCGTGGTGTTCTGAGGTCCTCACTGGCATCATGAATTCGAAGAACTCTCACTGCTAACTTGATCAGTTGCTCCCAACTGCTCAACCAGCTGCCTAAATAAGTTCTCAATGGTCTTGTGCTATGCCCTGTCAAGAATTGAAATGCATGTGCCCAGCCTTGCTTGAGTGCTGATGAATTTCCATTGGGCGTGTCTTCGCCATCAGGTCCACCAGGCTCAACATCCTCGCATCTGCGTTTCATCCAAACTCCCCCCACCCTGCAAACAACATCCAACAACATTGTGCAACAAAAGCCAACGGGTTCCCACAAAAGTGCAGTCACAAAAGAGCAAAAGTCTTCACCTGGCTTCTTTCATGTTTTGTTTCCTTTATGACTTACTTTCGCAAGAGCTGGGCCAGTCCTTGGTCCTCACCTCCAAATACCCGTGCTGGACAGCACCCGGGCCTTAGAGCCCAGGTACGAAGGCTTTGTTTCAGTGAAACATCCGGAAGACTCCCGCGAAGACGACTAAGTCGCATGCCCTTTCGAGTGTACAAATACCTCAGATGGCCAAGATCCATCCTAAACTGTCCTCAACAAGTACATTCATACGATGTGACCCCTGCAAGCCGAGTTTCAACATCTGAATCTGACCTTTAAAGAACTAAACATGACTGAATGTATTGAGAAAACATGAGAATACCTATATATAGGTTATTGCAAGACTTATCAGTTGCACTCCTGGACAAAGAGCCCAATTACTGACAAAAGGTTCAAGCTCGTGAGCTGTGGAATGTCTATTAGTCTAACCCCTTTCCTGGCCACGATGCAAAGATAGAAGGACCAAAGCAGTGCCAAGAATGAAATGTGCAGAAGGCAGCAGATCGAACATGAACACTGAGGCAATGCAGGTCAGAATGATCGAAACAGCCTCAGAGCACTGTTACGCGAGGCGAGGATCCTATGATTAACGTACAAGTCCAACTGTACCACATATTCATGATAGACGCGATTCTGCGCCATCCTTTCGAAGTCCACAAGTGTTTTGTGCAAAAGGAAGACTTCTTGCCATTCCAGGCGTCACACTGGAGCCCACTTGCGAAAGGGTGCACAACTACCGCAAACGAGGATGCTAGGGCATGCTTGCTGTAGAGGTCCCCTTTCACAATGAAGACAAGCTAAGGGTTGAGTCATCAATCTTAGCCACAGAGAGAAGAGGCTTCACCTCTCTGTACATTTGATACGTCTCAACAACTCTGAGTCAAGCGGCAGTGGCAAACCCTTTCCTGAGTTCAAGCATGGACCGCCACCCTCTGCAGCTTTCAACATCACCATTAAATGAATGCAGCTGCATGATTCGTCAAATGCCAGCAATGCAAAATAGAAAAACTCTTCACTCCGGACAGCTTCGAGATGTTGTCGGCATATTTCGCCACAACCGCCACTGCCATCCCTCCCAAAGCCTGCAACAGCACCACAATGCCTGAGTCTGCTGGTGCCTGCTGAATGAGGAACATATGTTTCAAGCCTTCAACAAGAAATTTGAAAGTGTTGCTATAAAGGACCGGAGAGATACGGAGAAAGCAAAGCACATGAGGCAGCATATGGCTGCAGTGCCTCAATATGAGCTGCCACCAAGTCGCAAACTATGAGGTCCCATCTAAAGAAGAAGCCCTTCTGACCTGAAGGTGGAATTCGTTTGATGCAACCTCTTGTCAGCCAAGTGGGTCGGCTCGGCCGCAGCCAAGATGCTGATCTTTGAGCCATCTTTCAGGTACATGGCCCCGCCCACAGCCAACAAGGACCACGCGGCAAGATGCATGTTTCGGACCCATAGACCTCAAGGTGTGAATTGGCGACATACGCATTTCAAGCAAAACGAAGCGATATATGTCACAACAAAACGTCAATTGATGCAATCAATGTAAAGCTGCACGTGGCCAATGATCAGCATTGATTTGTAGACCGCGGGGCTTCATGATAACATGATCACAACCAGGCTCCTCCCCCCTCCCTCCCTGCTCCTTACGTCTCCCTGGCTACCTTCCTACCTACCTCTAGCCCCCTGTCCACCTCTACCCCCCTATCTACCTAAGTACCTATATATATATATTATACTATACCTACCAATACCTACCTACCCACACCATCCTGCACCTATCTATCTGTCTATATATATATATATCTTTCTCCTCTTCTCTACTCTACTCTAGTCTAGCCTAGTCTATCCTATGCTATCCTATCCTATCTATCGATCAATCTATCAATCTATCTATCATCTATCTATCTACAGTATATCTATAATCTATCATTCCATTGTATTCTATATGTTCTGTTCTGCTCCGTTCTACCAATCAATCATTCAATGAATGAATGAATGAATCAATCAATCAATCAACCAATCAAACAATCTACGTACCCTACCTACCTACCCTGCCACCCTACTAACCTACCTACCTCTCCCTCCGTCCCTCCCTCCCTCCCTCCCTCCCTCTCGCTCCAACACCTGAGTAACTACTGTGTTAAATGTGTTAAATTGTCATGGATTATCACCCACAAATGGCGCACCCCCACACCAAATTAGGATACCAATAATGAACTGCGTGCTGCCAAGCTACTGGTATTGCCAGTCCTTGGCTTCGGAATTAGTGACTTGCTCCAAACATCTACCCAACAAAGCAGCACTGCTTGTATTGTGTACTGCTGTAATTACAAGGCTGTCATCTCAAACATTGATTGATGTTCAACCGTGTAAAGTCTACAATTACACCGACCATTCCACATTGAATACCCGAGCTACCTCTCTTTTTGCCAATCAGGGTGTGGCTATGACTCTTTGTTTTGCATCTCTTTCACTCTCCCGGTGGTTCCACCCGAGACTGCCAAGCTTCTTAAATATCTTCTCCGTGTATACAGCTGCTAAACCTGGGTAGCAACCGGAGCTGCACAGTATGCAATATAGCGTCCAAACATGTTCAAGCATTCATGTACAACTGCACAATTCAGATCAAATGTGATTGATAAACTAAACCTGAAACGGATCTGTTCAGTCTTGTGGTTTGACCCGCAAGCATTTTGAGTCGCTTAGAGCCAGGCACGGCCCTAGGACATTCAAAGTTGCAGTTGCAACACAGCATTCACCGCCCCGTACTTGGATCGTGACCGCTTGTGACGCAAGCGGTCGTGACTGCAAGAAAGCCAACCCAAACCTGTGCCAAAGGACGATGCCGACCGATGTTCCCAACAAATCCAACAAATGGATGAAGCGATATCATTGCCGAAAAGCAAAGACTCCAAAAAAGTCATAAATCTTAATCTTGCGATTTTACATAGCTACGTACAGTAAACCAACTGCCCAACTGAGTCCAGCTGCCACATCAAAATCAGCTCGCGAATACATACATAAATCACATAAATATCAAATATCATATTTTAATCAAATATTATATATTATCATATCATGATTCAGCAAGGTTATCGCTTTTGAGGGGGGTCTATCACTGTTGTAGGTTTTTGCAAAGTTTGTGAGATTTACGAGCGCTCTTTCTAAATGTCTTAGTCATTGAACCTTTTGGCGGTTGCTCATGTCAACTTCTCTTTTCAACCTTGACAGCACTTGCAACATTTTTGAGGTCCTCCAAGACTCTCAGCATATCTCAAGAACATTCAAGAACATTAAGGGGGGGGGTCGAAAAGTATAAGTTGCCACGTTCCAGGTGTTATTTATGTTACTTATGTTACATTAAACCCCTCCCTCCCTCAAAAGTCACTATCCGCAGACTGACGCGGACTGAGGAGGGAATCCCAGTGATTATCATCTCACGATGGACCTTTTATGGGGGGGGGGTAACATACATTATCTGACCCCCTGAAAACCACGTAGGGGGGGTAATATACATTTATATACACACACACACACCCATTTTCCTAGGCTAAGGCGGTGGGGATCTTGCAACGTAAAGTGAACATGCCCTCGAGTGCCAAAGGCTACAGCCACGGCCAGGTCAAAGCGAATTCCCCAGCCTGCTGATTCTCCGATGCATTGTGCTGCGTCTCAACGGTTGCAAGCTGTACAACAGCCACCTGCAAACATCCAAAGGTGGCCAACAAAACAACACCTCAAAACATTCCACAACTTTCCACAACTAGGAAACTCAACACAATTGTGTTTTGTTTGGCTTAGCCTGCTCTTACTTAATGAAGTAGGCAGTAGGCGTCTACTTAATTTAGTAAGGAAGTAAGCTACTAGCAGCTAGCAATAGCTAGGACCTAAGACGCAGGATAGCTCACGCATCTTCAAGGAAGCTCCCCCGCCTGACGGCGGGAAGGAGCTTCCCTGAAGAAGCACTTGCAGTAAAAAAATTATCTTCCGCCCCCGTTGACGTGGGAACTGAACAAGTGAACCCGTGGCGAATGCAGGGTGCCACAAAAGTGCCCCAATCGAAACGTCGAGCCGCCCCGGCAGCACAGGCCAGAATACCCAGCCATTGGTTTCTCGAGAGCTGGCGGCCCAGCATGGTCACACCTCACGGATGATCATGATCCGAAACATGTCCCAACGCACCCCAAAAACAATTCAACAATGCAGGACCAAACAATGAGCGTCTGCCAAAACCGCTGGATAACGAATGATTGGACAAGGTTATCGCTCTTCAGGGGGCTTGAAAATATTACAGTAAGTATATATATATATAAATATATATCATATCATCATACATCTATCCACAAAACTCTTCGCTTGTGTTGGCAGTTGCTCAAGTTCCAACCCATGGAAGATTAAATTCTAGTCAGCAGCCAAGCAACTAAAAAGCGCCGTTGTCACCAGTTTCATCCTTGCCGCGCCGCTCTGTATCTCACTCTCACTCACTCTCTCTCTCTCTCTCTCCCTCTCCCCTTCAGATTGAAATCTGTGATAGCTAGGTTGGGGGGCGAGAGAGGAGGCCAGGCAGGATCGCTTGGCACTCAGTAGGCTTGATTGGGACAAGTTGACAACTTTGTCGAAGAACTGCGGCGCACCATAGATTGTCGTTTCGATGTCAACCGTGGCTGTGGCATAAAGGTGGGTTTGCGCCGCCGGAGAGCCGCGTTTCGATTCGACCAAGGGTCTGGTATAAGACTTGGCAAACCTGAGCTAGCAGCTCCAATACCGAAAAGCAGCAATCAATCAATCAATCAATCAATCAATCAATCAAACAAAACTGCTTTCATTGTTTCGATTGGGCTGTAAAGCATCAATGTTCTATTTCTGCAGGTGTTAATTATTTCTGCGAAAGGAGCCGCTCCAATCTGAGTGGTAAACTCAGAAGAATAATATGTATGATATAATGTCATGTGTATATATATATAGGCAATGCTCGTGCAGTCATTCAATGAGGTAAATCAAACCCAAGTAACCGAAACATCAAGGTTGCTGGCCGCCACATACTGCAAGCCATTTTGGAAGGAGTACAACGCGGCAGGGATCAACCTAGCAGCAACGCTCCTATACCCTGAGTGGAGGTTCTTCTCTCAAAGCCATACTCATAATCAAACATGAATGAACCATCAGGAAGAACACGTGCGTTTCTACACCAAATACAGCAACCATGAGTTCGAGATTGGTGTGGACAGTTAGCTACCTCTCAGAGCGACACAGTATCACACGCATTGTCACTGAGGTCCCGTTCATCGTCAAAGCGTCCCGCGAGAAGAACAAATGCCATATCTCAGCGCAACCCACAGTGTGGGAGCAGTCGCGGGATTTTGATTGGTCTCATCAAATGTAAAACCACGTCAATAGCTTAGCTTGGCATGCTATAAACATCAATGTTGTCAATAGGTCTTCCTACTGGTCACTCCTTGCCTCCCCCAGCTGCACAAATACCCGAGTGCCTGTTCAGTTTTCAAATTGATTTCGTCTTTCATCGAGGTCAAGGCCCGATCACGCCGACGTCGAACGCGAGAGACCGATTTTCGTGCCGAAGCATCTCTCATGTGTCAGGTCACTGGGGTGAAAATATGCTCAATGATTGATACTTTCGAGACATGTCTCAGACTGCATTGGTCCGGCATGCGGTCACCTTCTTGCAACATGAGCCTCCCACTGGCTCAAATGCCTTGCACCACCGATCAAACAAACATTGCTGGGAGATCCGTCATGCTATGTGTACCTATGTATAGTCCTATGTATATACACACTAATGATGCATCATGATGGAGTGAATTCTTCGAAACCAAATTTGACCACTACATGTCAGCTATTCATGGCTTTTCATAAACCCTTAGAGTGCTGGTGAGGCACTTGCTTCTAGCCAACTCTTGAATCTACCACATAGCCAACAGCAGCAGGACTGGGCTCCTGTGTCTAGCCAAGCTGACTCAAGCGCTGCCCTGGATATGCTTTGCATCTCATCAAGAATGAGCTGGCTCTGATATTTTACTCTGAAGTTCTGAAACACCATACAGTGCTCAACTTACTGATGTGATGTCCATCTTCGATCAGCACCTAGACCAAATGTGAGTCTTTGCACAGCATATCATTGGCGGCTGGCCTTTATATGACAGAACCTTATTCCTGGCGCAACTCGACACAAACAAATAAATAACTCTAAAAAGGTGACGTCAATGTACCTTGATTAACAAGAAGCTACTAGGAGCAAAGAGCATCGCTACTAGGAGCAAGGACGCTACTAGGGGCTCCTGGCCGTACTACTAGGAGCAAGTAGCTACTAGTAACAAGAAGCTATATGGAATAGGCCAAAGTTGGCCGAAGTTTAAACGATCTGGTCGAGATTGAGCGCCAAAGCAGTCACAGTCTCTGCAGTGCACTATCGCACACCGATTGAAAAGAAGTAGCTCAAGCTTCCTTCAAGGAGGGCTACGTTGATCATGTTGATCTACTTTTCCGCCATTCTTTCACCAAATGTTTAAAAGACTAAACAAGTATTATATAGGCCATTGATTGGACAACAACTGCCATTACTTTGCAAGAATCCAACTTGATCCCTGTTGAATCCGTTAAATGTCTGACCAAGTCTGGCCTGCCATGTATTTAGAATATCTAGAGAGGTAGCAACAGGGACCCACATTCATCAGAGTGGCGTCTAAAGTAAAGGGAATTGCCTGCAAGCTAATCAAGCAAGCATCCATCTGAGGGTACACACCATGGCCTGGCCTTCGCACCCGGAGGCGAGGACCGGCGAGGAATGACCACCAGAGTTCAGCGTTCAGATTTGGTTCTTCTGCATGAGGTAGAGACGCGCTGCAGCTGCGCAAGCGTTCACTAGGCGGGCGGCGGGATCGCCCACCTGCAAGCTGTCCCCCCGTTGCAGGTGAATGCAACTGCCAACAGCTTAGAAACGAGTGGAGATGCTTCAACATTCAACATAGGGAACAACGCTACTCAATACTAATTACTCGACATTCTCCCACCAAGCACATTTGGGATCTCTCCCAACCATTTCTCGGCTGTGGCACTGGCCTCGCCATCCTCCTCCACCTGATGCAACAGATTTGTGGTCCGGAGTCCCAAGTTCGGTTTCTTTGACATGGACTTGCTTTCCATTTCTATGCCAATTTGCAGTACACGTCTTGCTCCCAGATACTCTTCGTGGTCTTTGATTCTCCATGCTCGCGGCCTGTTTGTGTGAAGTCCCTGAAATCCAGGTACAAAGTCTCTTTTCCTGGGCGACCACTTGCCGTCGCACCATAGCGCGTTGGCAGTGGTAACCAAACACAAAACAAATTCCCCAAAGCAAACTTGTATTGCTGGATTGTGCAATCCCCTGACCGGATGAGGCTCCAAAAGCACCCCAAGATTGAATGAGTAAAACATGAACTACCCTAACAGAAGCAACATGAAGCAAACGTACAAGCCGACAACACCCCCGTAGCCCAGCAATCCCACCTGCTATATGCCTGACCAACCAAGGCTCCACCCCTTCTGCGCTGAGGCGATCTGATGGAGTGGCATGAAGACCTTGTCTGTCCCGACCCCAACCAACATTAAGACTATAGTGACTGTAGAATGCGGAAATGCCATGAGCTAACATGCCTGTACGCAGTTCCACTAACTGATCGAAAGCGCGTTGCCTGTCGGGAGGCCAGCCACATGAAGTGTTCTGAACATGTCTGAACCAGCTAGATCTGCTGCTCTGTGCGTCTCCCTGCTTGCAGCATAGCCTTATATAATTTGTTAGACGAACATGTTTGCAAGTTGCTTGCTGTAAAAGGACCTCGGACATGAGGGCGGACGTGGGGGGATGTAGCTTGTGCTCTGGACTTCAGGCCCGGCAACTCGGTGGGTCGGTGGCCGCACACACCGACGCAAACATCCTTTTGACGCCTGCCAACTTCTTGAACAAGTATCCTTTGCACGCTTGGGACCAATGGGATGATTACGTGGCAACATAGTGGGACCAATGCTTGGCAACATGGCCAAGCTCTCCCTCTGCCACCAAGGAGCATTCGGTCGTCAACGTCACAGCCTCGTGCTGGAAGGGGGTCCCTGATGGCCAGTCAAGCGGTGGAACCTCCTTCTTCTCAGCCTTGCCGACAGCATCCTGGCGGCACGTCGGCAACAGTCGTCACAGAAAACAAAAAGATACAAGAATGGTATGATATAGAGGGCCTCTGTAGGGGGCCTTGATAAAGAGGTCCTTTACCTTCTTGTTTGGGTCTCTTTTTTTCCGATCCGAAGCCGCTCTACCAAGACAGACAGATACCTGGGACCGTCCTGGACAGAGAGACCTTGAAGTGGATTGCTGTCAGTGAGAACAAAAAAGATCACCTGGAGCTGGCGTCTCGGGTCTCAGGTCTCAGGTCTCAGGAGTCTGGACTCACGTGACTCACAGGACATCCATTGCCACACAGCTAGGTGCAGGCAACTGGCTCGGCCAAAGGAGAAGACGTCCGCCTTGTCAGCTTCTGACATCTGCGCCGATTTGGTCAGGACCTTCATGAGCCGCCAGGAATTACAGGAGTGGGGTGTGGCTGAGTGTGCCATACCACCACCTATTCTACATGCGGACAGTATTGAATTAATTACAGTATTTAGATGCGCGTGACACAGCACGTGCGGTGCAGCGCAAGACTACCTAGTCTACAAAAAATCCACCAGGTTGATCCAAGCAGCTGCCATGAGAGAAACCGGTGGAATTACCCTCACTGGCACCCATTAGATGCCCTGTGCCGTGGTCAACAAGCTAGTCTTGAATGATCAAGTCAGCTGGATGGGCATACATGGTCTGCAACTATACTTAATTAAAGAATGCACAGCAAAAACAGTTGATATAGTAACATTTTGACACAATGATGTCATTGTAGATTGGATGGTCGGATGCAGTCCCCAGAAGGGAATCTCTGGGAACTTCCACCTGCCTCAGGTGCCATATAGCGAGGTGTTCCTGCGAGGTCACATGTGAGCAACTGCCAAGCGTGCAATGACTAATTTAGTAAAGAGCGTTCGTAATTTTCAGGAACTGGACAAAAACCTGCAAAAGTGCAGCGATAGGCATAGTTCCGCAGTTTTAGATATGATCACTGGATAAAACCTGCAAAAGCGATAGGCCCCCCGCAAACGCCCTCATGTGTCTTGCTCACGAAAGGTCGTGAGAAAGACTTCAGACAAAGACATGGATGTGTTTAGGTTATCGCATCATCATGTGTGATCAAACAGCCTCAAACCCGTCTGCGTGCACCTTGCTTGGAAACTCCACAGACAAGTTCCAAGAACCATCAACCTAGTGTATCAGTCTTTGGAGCTGCTTCAGTTACAGTCCTCCTAGCTGTCGACTCTTGTTAGCCCGAATCCGGGAAAGTCCGAAGTCGATGAGCTTCGGCATCTTGTCTCCTTACCAGCACCACCAGCTGCAACCGTGGCCGTGGCGCTATCGTGTTTATGAGGCGTGGGTCGTGCCTCCATTGCAACTCCAAGAATCCCTTCCCTATTCTTACTAACCGGACCGCCCCCTAATCCAAAATCTCAGCATGCTCTTAGGTATAGTCTAGAGGCATTTTTCTCGGTAATTAAGGGGTATGGGTTGCTCAAATGCAGGTTTGAAACCGACAAGTCGCCTAGCAACATCTTCTGTAAACTCCTTTGTTTTTCTTGCATTAAATCATTATATTGAAACTAATGCCATTCAAAGGGTATTACGTTTCTCTGCATGAAGCCCCATAATTAGTGAATTGTTGGCGTGTCGATTGTCCGCTTGCAAGATGTCCGCCAAATCAACATGTAATGGTGCTGAAAGGTTGCAACACAAATTGACACCATGAGGGTCACCACATGATATTCAATCTTCAATAGGATAGGGTTCGCTTGCAAACCACAAAATTACATATACTGTAGCAACCATAGCCACCGGATTCCAAGAGGGCACAACCTAAACTAGAATCTAAACCCAAGCGAACGAGCATTTGTGCAATATTGTGCATTAGGGTAAATATTGGAAATCGACGCAATGTCAATCCCACTGGGGCCGGACATATGTTCTTATTTCTAGGATTACGTCACTTGCAACGCAATAGGAACCGCGAATTAGTCTGACTGCACACCCGTGTGGAGGTGAGTGGCCTGTGTTGTAGTGGTGGACAGGAGGGAGCCGAGGGACTCTTGGGGAGATCCATCCACAAAGCTACTAGTAGCGATGCCCTTTGTTCCTAGTAGCTTCTGGCTCCTAGTAGCGTTCAAAACCTCAACATATCCATATTAATATTATTATA